GGGAAAGAGCTGGTCCTGCTGCGTTCACAGATCTTAAGAGCTATTATTAGATTACTGCCAAACAAAACCCTGTAAATTATTAATTTCTCTCTCTAGTAACTTCATTTTGTGCGCATCCTAATTAATTGCACCTCTTTCATCAAAGTCTAGACAAAAGTAAAAGTATGGTTCCTGTAAATTAATTATTTTGTGTTGGTTGGTACAGTTTACGAACCTGAACTTTTCCCTTTCTTAAAAAACAAACTAGAAACCCTTCCTTTTGACCATCTGTATATTGACACCTGAAATTAAACTATTTCTCTAGCAAGTATTCTTATTTGTAAGGAGTTCTCGCTCTATAGTGGCTGTCCTGCGTTGTTTGTGTAGACTGACTCACTCGTCCAAGGAGGTATTTGTTGACTGCGTTACATATTTAATGGGGATTCCCAGACTGTCGCCACCACATGCTACTTTAAGAAGCTGCACTTGAATAGGTAACAGTGTGGTGAGCTTGTTGCTTTAGAATTCCTTTATCAAAGTATTGTCTTTTCTAGATTTTAACAGAATTTCTCATCGGTGTTTGGATCTGATACTTTTGTCTTTGTTTCTCTTTGATTGCTATAGGTTTGCATTATTTTGGAAGTTTATTTGTACAAAAGCCAAAAGTATATATTAGAGGGAAAGAGAATGAGAGAGAGAGAGAGCCGTGTGCCAGAGAGATAGTGCACTGTTTGTAAATCCACATTGTTCGGTACAGTTCTTTTGAAACAACCCCCTCTCCCCCAAAGGTACTTAGATTGCGGTACCTCTGTGTATTGTAAATAATTCATAATTGACGCACATACAGTTATATTCTTACAGATTTCGCTGTATTGCTGTTATGTTCCAAGGCTATTTGAAGCCTTACTTCTGTACATTATGATTACTTTGTTTTTGTTAATAGAAGGTTTATTAATAATAGTAATGTATTAAGTTATTTAAAATGTTGTTTGATTGTCTTTCATTAAAAAAAGATTTTAACGTTTTATTGACAAAAACGTTTTGTGGGGTTCCTTTGTTTCTCCCATCTATTAAAAACGTTTCGGAATTGGAACCAAGACGCTATATAGCCTGTAATCCTTAAAACACTTATTTGGAAATTTCACAGTAACCAGCAGTATTTCCTTCCACTTCAATATGCTTAGGCTATTCGCTGTATTACCAGTTTGGTGAATCTTTTCTTTGTGGATATTTCCTTTGACCAAAGTATTTCAAACGCAAGCTAGGAAGTAGCTGGAATACTTTAACTGTTATTTACTGAGGAGTGAATTTCTTGCAGGATTGTTTCTGTCCAATGGGTTAGATCTAGATTAAGTTCTCCATCAGCGGAACTTTCCTGCCCCGCCTCCCAGTGCAATCCACTTATCTCCACAAACTGGTTCAGAGTATCAGGAGGGGTGTTGCGCGCGCGGGGGGGGAATCAGTGGCAATTGCCCCTTCCCTTAGCAGAAAATTTAGGCTGGGTCCAACCCTATGTTTCATACGTGAACCTATGGCTCAGTCGGATGAAAAATGACACTTCCACACTAAGCATTACTTTAGTGGGCCAGATTGCAAGTCCAGGGCATGGAGAGTGGTGAAGGACCTCAGGGACCTTGGAAGGGAGCTATTCAATTAGCCCGTCTTCCTAGCTGGGAATGATGACTAGGACAGGTGGAGTCCCAGGAGCTCAGCACGAATACCCGAGCGCGCCAGGCGCATAAGCAGCGAGATCAGGAGAGGGGCAGAATCAGAGGCGAGGGGGGAGAGAAGAGAAAGACCTGTCGGTTTACATGTCCGCATTGGTTTACTGTAGAGTTTCAGGCGCTCACGAGAATTTAGAAACGGGATTCACCTGGCAATTTTATTCTCAAACAACTCCTAGCTAATAATGGAGGAAAGTGTAAGGTTTAGAGAGGAGGGTTCCTAGATCTAAGAATGGGGGGAAAATGTGTCGATGGGAAACCTCCATTGTGCGCATAACTTCGGTAAGACTTGCTTCCATTTGAACAGAGCAGATGCCTCAGGGAAAGATTGGGGGGGGGAGGCAGGATTTCCCCTTCTCAATCCGCTAGAGCAACTCCTCTTGTGTTTCATAGGAGGCTTCGGATTGCACCGGATCAAGAGCTAAATTAAAATGATGCCAAGCGATCAAAAGACAGGCCTGAAGGACACCCTGCAGAATTGTGCTGTCTTTTACACTGTAAAGAACTAGTTATTCACAGAAAGTTTTGCGTCTAGTATATAATTTCTCCTTCAGGATCAAACCGCTGTGTGTAAATAGGTAACCCTATTGCCCAAGGAGATGAGATCTTTGATGTAGTGAGACTGAACGGAGGGACTGTTTCTTCTGCTAGAAAGGAGCTGGTGGGTTTCTTCACCGCTCCCTCCAAACAGGTTTAGGCTAGTGAGACACAATCTGCTTGTAAAATGCGATTTTAACACTGAGGTAGGGGCTGTGAAGAGTGTAAGGGGAGTGTGTAAGTAAAAGGGTTGTGCGAAGCGTTTGCAATGGAAAGTGAGAAGGTTGAAATACCCTCACGCCCCTCCCTTTCCACTTTATTCCCTTTGATTTTCTGCGACAATGGTGATATTGCGGCAGCAGCCTATATGATCCCTGCCGCCAGGGCTTTTCAGCACTAAGGACAGCTCCTCGGCGCTCTCGCTCTCTCAGTTCAATCTTGACACTTTGCCAGGGGCTGTCTCTTCCCTCACTCAGAGGGGGAGAGGGAGAGGGAGAGAGAAAAGGAGAGAGAGAGAAGAGAGAGAAAGAGGCGGAGAGAGCGGCGGCGGGGGGGAGCTGAGACAGAGGGAGATGAATGTGGCAGGTTTTTGCTATAGGGACTCAGCAATCTAAACGAAATATCATTTGATCTTTGAAAATATGTTCACATGTGAACTTACTACAAATGCGTTTAGCAAAACAAAATACCAAGACAGAAGGGAGGAAAGAACTCAGAGAAAGCAGAGGATGACAAGGAAATAGCTTAATTATTTTTTTTTTTGAACTGACATAAATTCTTATAGCAGAGGATGACAAGGAAATAGCTTAATTTTTTTTTTGAACTGACATAAATTCTTAGCCTTTACATATGCCAGAGATTAGAATGGGGGCTCTGCGGAAGGGTTAATACCGCCGCTTGCAAAAATGGCGCAGAAGATCACAGTGTTGTCATTTCACCATCAATTGGTCAATAAATCTCATCCAGGCTCCTGTGTTCAAAGCGTATTTGTCTTTACACCTGCTTTCTAGGTGGGAATCCCATGCTAACTACAGACCTTTAATCATAAGTGCATTCGACGGATTAATTGTCTGCTATTGGCTAGTCTGTTTTCTCAAATGAAAACATGTTTCATGTTGGATAAAGTGGAAAGGAGCACGACCCAAAAAGGTGAATTGGCCAGATGGGTAGTTATCTTGATTCCTCAAAAGACAGCGGCATCTGAAGCTAAAAGGAAATAATGGGTCGTTTTTAACGCCACCCCCTTACAGCTCTGTGCTTCGACCAGTACCGATTAAGAAAAGTCTTCGAGCAGCTAAAAAAAAAACCCAACCCTACTCGGGAGTCTGATATTAACTGGATGCCTCTAGTCCATCAATCAAAGCAGACGGGATCGCCGCTGTGTCTCATTTGTTGAGACATATTTGCCAGCTCTCGGGACTGAGGAGCAGTCCTGGCTCTGGATGGTTGTTAAGAGCTGGAGAAATGATCTAAGGAAGAAGCACAGGATATTTAGGGCGGAGATCTCCCTCCCCTTTTCGAGCGTTGTTTTGGGTTAAGTGTTCTGAATCTTCGGTTCTATTGGTGTATTGCTTCTGTAGTGAGGTCAATTTTTCTCCATTTTCACATCACGCAGATCAGACCCAGGGATGGAGACTGGGGCGTGGAATGGCCACGCAAAACTTAGGGAAGCAAATCTCCAGTGCTGATTTTCCAAACCCACAACTGAGTCAGAACTTAAAACCAAACATTTATGTTAGAGTTATGTGTAGGCTCTTTAAACCTGAGGTTCCTGTGATGGTTTGGTGGAGAGGAGATGTTTACAAGTGCTGAGGATTTTAAAGGAATTACTTTGACCTAAAGTACAGAAAGAACATCCTCAGAGCGCTTAATAAATAATCATTGCAGATTTCCAGGAATTATCAACGAACGACATGTGCTTGCTTTTATTAGGATAAGCATTGAACAGAAAGGGCTGTTCAACAGCTTTCAATCTGAGTTCAAAAGAGGCCTTACTAACCCTTTCGCTTATTGACAAAGGGGGCCTCTGTCCCCGCTATTGCGGGTTCTCCAGTGAAATGGTGTTTATGGAAATCGTGCAACTGTGGCGGATTTGGACGTAGTTAATGTAGCCCATAGTGAGAAAAGAGAAAAACAAATGGGGCTGAGAAAGAGGAATAGCAACAGCTACATACCTATGCAGAAATAAAAAGGACCCAGACAAACACCTCCGAGTCTCCGAAAAAAAAAGCATGCCTTGAAACCC